GCCCCATATATTAAGGCAATTATCAAAATGTTGTTACCCATTATATTAAAAAATATATAGGGCACTTTTTTTTTTTTGTAAGATAATTATTAATTTTATTTCATCTAGTATTTAAAAAATAATGTAAATAATTATTAATTATAAGTAACTTGTCACTTTTCAATAACTTCTATAATCGAAGAACAAAGGCTCTTTAATCAATTTAATCAAATACGATCCACTTATCGATAGTTCCGTTCAGAACCACGACCATGATTTCTGGACCTAGAACGCGAACGCGAACGGGATTTATACCGAGTTACACTTTCAACACGCCTATTACGGTCATAATCACGCCCTCGTGAACGTGAACGTGATTTATACCGAGTTACACTTTCAACATGCCTATTACGGTCATAATCACGTCCTCGTGAACGTGAACGCGAACGTGATCTTTCCCGAGTATAATTTTCGACGCGCCTCTTTTCACGTCCACGAACGTCATCTCTACTATTAAATCTAGACCAAGATCGTGATCTTTCCCTTGTAACATTTCTTTCTCTAGACCATGATCGTGATCTTTCCTTTGTAACATTTCTTTCTCTAGACCATGATCGTGATCTTTCCCTTGTGACATTTCTTTTATCTTCTACCTCATCATCTTCATTCCTTTTTCGTTTTTTCTTTTCTTTTTTTGCCTTTTTCTTTGCTTTCTTTCTCTCTTTTTTTAATTTCTTGATAATAAACTCTCTCATCGGATCATCCGGATCCACTTTGCTCTCTATATCATCAGAGTCTTCGCTATCCGATCCAGATTCATCATTATCTGGGAAAAATGACAACATAAATAATCATAATCAAACACCGAAATATATATTATATTTTTTTTCAAAAAAAAAACTAACCTCTTTGCAATAAAGGAGGAGCGGCATTCATTCCTGTTCTTTTTTCTCCATCTTTCGTTTCAGCACTTGCGTGATCAACTCGTAGGGTACGACCTAAAAGCTATAATAAATATTGAAATTCAAATAGGAAAAAAAAATATATATATTATTTTTCCTCTTACTATATATATATATATTATTATTATTATTATTATTATTATTATTTATATCCTTTATGACATTTATGTAAAAAGATAGTTGAGTTGGCAAAGAGAACGAATGACCTGCTCGAAAAAAATAGTCAGAGACCATTTATGTTTAAAATGACAATGCATTATGATGGACACATGAGAATTTACCGTAAAATTATTTAAATTATCAACTGCTAAAATTGTACTTCTTTGATCTTCATATCTTAAAAAACCAAAGCCTTTAGATTCACCAGTTTCTCTGTTTCGAACTAATTGAATATCGAGTATTTCACCATATCTATCGAATTATTGATTAAAGATTAAAAAGTGAGCTAAATAAAAAAACACTATAAATAAAATGTTTAGAATAATAGAATTGACTTACTGAGAAAAAATGGTAATAATGTCGCCTTCTGTCAAATCAAAAGGTATATTTCCCACAAAGATATAAGGAGAATCTCTATATTGAGCGTGCCAAGAACCGGAAACAGAAATGTTTCTTTCTATTTCTCGAGAGTTTATTCGCTGAATCTCTTTAGTTACACTACCAAAGTAAACATGAAAATTAAACAATTAAGAAAATTGCGATAAATGTAAAAAAAAAAATAAGACCGACTTCATTGTTCAAAGTTGTATAGATTCATTGAAAATATCGAAATAAGTAGCAAGTGAAAATGAAAAACGAATTACTAATTTTTTCAATAGCGGTCGACTAAAATCTGAAATTAGCCCAATTAATTTTTTAATTTATAAGTTCATGGAGTTTATCATTTCAAATAATGGTTAATTTGTTAATTTTTTAAATTTTTTTGGCATAATTTTTTTTTTAATAATTTCATAATCTCCCTAAAATTAATTATACCTCACCATATATATAATACATTTAAATTTCTAATGACCACCTAAATTTAAAAAAAAAATCAAAAATAATAATAATAAATAAAAAATTTTTTTTTTTTTTTTTTTTTTTTGTCTCTTAAGGATATACAAAGTATAAAAAGAAAATAATAAAAGAAATAAACTGATTATTATTGTATTTAATACATAATTTCATACACAACAAAAAATATAAAAAAAAAAATCTGAAGAATAATAAAAAAGAAAAAAAAAGGATGAGTGAGTAGAATTATACAAAATACTACAAATCGATAAAAAAAAAAGTGTAAAATTTATTTATTTTTTTTTTTTTTTGCAATAGTTAACAGTAAAGTTTGAACTATGTATAATATATCGATACGCGGTAAACGGATAAAGGAATTTATATAAACAAAGTATTAAAATGATGTTAATAAGGGATTACTATGTAAAAGGTATTTTGTATAAAAATTTTGTAATTTTTAGCCAAAATATAAGAATCAAATAAAAATAAATTGTCCCACACATCTTCAGTGTTTGGTAGAATGAAATGTATTAAATTAAGGAGAATGCTTCTTTGCACTCTTACCATTTGTCAACATTAATCCTTAATTATTTATTTTCCAGCCATACTTGCAGTTGTATTGTTAGGCAAATTTCTCAATTTATCTAACTCTTTTTGAACCATCGTTCGACTAACGTTACTCGATCCATTTTGTTGTTTGGGAACAGGACTAGCAGTTGGTTCATTCGGTGATGTTTGAGAATTCCCTGAGGTAGCCGGTGCTATATTAGCCTTCTTCGAAAGCAGATTTTGGAAGAAGTTGGCAAGAACCTCATTTTGATTAGGTGCAGGTCCATTTACAGGAGGAGCACCCGTGCTTCCATTCGTGATATTGATGCCTGAAGGTGGTGAAGGTACTTTGGCTGTATTATTTGTCTGATTTAAATTATTAAAGTTAATTAAGTTAGTATTTATTAGTTATTTATTTATTTATTTTTAATTGATAATATAAAAAAAATATTTACTTTAGGTCTTGAAGAAGTGGTGTTGTTAAGTGAAGAATGTTCAATATCGGGAATATCGGCACCAATGTCGCCATACGAATAATTGGGAGCTCCCATTGGTCCGACAACTGAGGGTGGGGATTGACGTTCGTTATTAGCCTTTTGTAAAGTATCAAAATGACGGCTGAAGAAATCTTGTTCATCCTCAGCGATAATCATGCGTGGGATTGATAGTGGCTATATAAGAATAAAAATAAAAAGTTAACAACTTTAAGGAAAAATATCCATAAACGAAATAAACAACATACTTTATCGGAATCTTCATGGACAGCTACGTCCTCGTACAACTTTTTAGCACTGATTATTTCCTTTTCTTCTCCTTCAGCAGGTTTATCACCCCCCATATCCAATTCCCAGCCTTGAAGCAATCCCTCACAATCAAATCCGTCTCTTAAAACTTTAATTTTACCCCAAGAATCCCAACCAGTGGGAACCAACACTGTATCACGCTCAACAACGTGTGCCTTAATATTAAAAGCGTATGCAGATTTAGTGTCACTGGATGAAGCTTTAGAACCAAGGAGTCGATGAAGGATATATTTTCTAAGGTTGACAAATGTTTGAGGTTGACGTGTAGTTGTATAAAAAAGCCCTGCACCATCTGAAAAATGTCAAACTTTAATTAATATATGAATGAAATGTTAACCAGCCGACAAAAGAATAACCCACTTACATTTGAGGCAAATTGTTCGTAAAGTTTGCTGTATGTAATCGAATTGCTCTTCTTTATAATCTAACTCACGCTCAAGAGTACTAACATTATCGGACTACAACAAATGATAAATGTAATTGATTTTTTGATTTTTTGACTATAAATAACAAATAAATTATAATAAAGTCGACTCAATACCTTGGTACAAACCACCACTAATGGCACTGCTAGATTTGTAGTCAAAACTCCTGGTCCCAATGGCAATGCAACATCATCTTCTTCACTATTAACTGTTGCATTTGGATTAGCGGCGTCTGGCTCCGAATACTTTTGAATAAATTTTTCGACTAACATAAAATAAAAATCAATCAATCGAATTAATAAATAAAATCAAACATAAAAATTGTTTGGAAGTTTTCTTGCTACTTACGTAAATCTTTCAATTCATCAACCACTGCTTTTCCTTTGGTCCAACCATCTTTAGATCCAACATTTCCTTCCTTTTTTACACTTTCGATACCTAATTCTACAAATTTAATCCATTTTTGTAATGTTTCGATAAAAGTCCAGGGGCGTGCCCAATCTAGGACGACTACAACAAGGGAATGTGGAAGAGTAGAAGAGTTAAGAGCAAAACGAAGGAGTGGTTGATAGGATTCATAGGAGCCAGCAAGTTGATATAATCCAAGACGAGCAAGCGTATCTGTAAAATTGAATAAAAGCGAAACAGAGCATTAATATGAAATATATTGTAATCATCGAAATCGGAATAGTTACAATATTATCAAAAACACAAAAAATAATAATAAAAATATATATGTATATTAACCTTCTGCTTCGTCATCCTTAACTTCAATAAAAGTGTAACTTAAAGCCAAGTCACTATTCGAACGTTTGTCATTGGTAGGAGGGTCATCAGTTCCAGTACCAATGCTTTTTGACATAGTACCGTTAGCATTAAGCCCTTCATAAACCTCTTCGTCTTCTTCACCTTTAAGGTGTCTGATGAGGGTGGATTTGCCGGAATCTCTGTC